TAAATCTAATGCTTAAAAAGGCAAATAAATAAAAAGTATGAATGAAGGGGAAGGTGGAGTTGAGTGTTAATAACATATGGAGCCAAATATTGTTAACCACGAGTGCAGCAGAATGTTGAGTCTAGTGTAAACCATAAGCAGAGAAGAATGTGGCATCAACTATTAATAGTGAGTGGAGCAGAATGTTGAATCTAGCATAAGGAAAAGAAAGCAGAACATTATGTCTGCTGTTACAATAGCACACACCAGAATGTGTTGTCAGGTGTTAATAGTGATCAGAGAATGTGGATTCAAGCATTTGTGGTGAATGTAGCAGAATTTGAGGTCTGGTGTGAATGCTTCAGAGAGCATATTGTCGAGTTCTGTTGTAAGGGAATAGAGGAGAGTGTGGTTCTACTGCTGATGGCAGATGAAACAGAATGTTGTGTCTCACATTAAAAGTTAATGGAACAGTCAGTGTCATGAAAAACAAAAAACAGCTAGGAGACTGTTCTAGGTTAAAAGAGACAAAATAGAGCAACTGTGCAATATGAATTGGATGCTTGATTGGATCCCTCATCATATTTTCTGATGACTTTTTTGACAACTGGGAGAATTTAAATAAAGGTCCTGTATTAGATGACATTATTGAATTATTTCAAATTGAATTATTTCTAATTCAATAATAACCATTGAATTAATGTTAATTTTTAAAGATGTGATAATGTCATTGTGATTCTCCTTCCTTATTTTGAGGTGAATTGCCATGTCTTTGTTGATTCAGCAAAAATTGCATCTACCTACCTACCTGCCCATCTATCTATCTATTTATCCATCTGTCTACCTATATTGAGAAAGTGTATGTGGGAAATGATGACTGGTGAATCTGGGTAAAGGGTGTGAGGGTGTTTATTGTATATTCTTTCAACTTTTCTATGTCAAAACAGAATGTTAAGCAGCATTAATTGGAAATGGTGCAAAACATTGTTTCTAGCAGAAGGCTAAAGGAAGCAGAATGTGGTGTCTGGCATTAATAGTAGAGCAGAATATCATGTCTATTTTTGAGTGAGTAGAACAGAATGCGACTCAAACAATAATAGTGAATGTGGTAGAATGCAGCATGTAGCATTAAAAGAGAGTGAAGTAGAATGAAGCATCAATCATTAACAGTGAAAAGCACAGAACGCTGTACCTCAACTAGGGGTGAATGTAGGAGTATATGGTGTCTAGCATTAATAGTAAGTGAAACGGAACATTATGTTTAGCGTTAGAACTGAATTAAGTAATCCCAGCACTTTGGGAGGCTAAGGTGGGCGGATCACGAAGTCAGGAGTTCAAGACCAGCCTGGCCAACATAGTGAAACCCCATCTCTACTAAAAATACAAACATTAGCCAGGCATGGCGGCGCATGCTTGTAGTCCCAGCTACCCGGGAGGCTGAGGCGAGAGAATTGCTTGAACCCGGGAGGTGGAGGTTGCAGTGAGCTGAGATTGCGCCACTGCGCTCCAGCTTGGACAACAGAGTGAGACTTCATCTTAAAAAAAAAAAAAAAAAGTAGTGAATTAAGCAGAATGCAAGATCTAGTGTTGACAGTGAAGGGAACAGAAGGTTGTATTGATCGTAAGGGTGACTGAAAGAAAAATAGTGCCTGGTGTTAGTAATGAATGAAGGGAGATGCTGTGTCTGGTGTTAGAGGTGAATGGAACAGAGTGTTGTGTCTGGCATAAGGGTGAATGGAGCAGAATGTGTATCTGACATTAATAGTGAATGGAGCAGAATGCTGTGTCTAGTGTTGATAGTGAAAGACGCAGAATATGGTTTAGGAGTTAACACCAAATGTGGTGTTTAACACTAGAAATATAAGTATCAAATTGAAGTGTGATCAGAAAAGGGTTAACAAAACAGGCCTGAGGCTGCTATCTTAGGAAGGGCCTGCTTGCAAGGTTGCCTCTTGGATGGCATCTGAGAACTTGGATTTTGGGAATATTCCTACTTTCCCTAACTGATAAGGCTGGCTCACTGTGCCTAGATTGTACAATCTGGTTCCTGCTGAACAATCTGCTTTCCTTTTGGGAGTCTGGAATTTTGGCACATGCTAGGCAGAGGGTGCTGATATGACCAGCCCCCAGTTAAAACATGGAACGCTGAGCCTCTAATGAATCTTAGAGCATAGAGCAGACTCTGTTTTTCTTTCCTTCTTTCTTTTTTTTAAGATGGAGTCTCACTCTGTTGCCCAGGCTGGAGTGCAGTGGCATGATCTTGGATCACTGCAACCTCCGCCTCTCGGGTTCAAGTGATTCTTCAACCTCAGTCTCCCAAGTAGCTGGGATTACAAGCGCGGGCCACCATGCCTGGCTAACAGTTTCTGTTTTTCTGTCTTTTGGGGCAGAAACATAGCACACACATGTCTGCATTGTTGTTGCTGGAGTAAGAGTGCATTCTGTGTGACCCCTCATGGGAGGGGGAGAGTAAGGAAGCCCGCACATGGATTCCTCTAGTCTCTGCCTATGTTCTTTCCCCCTGATGAGTTAGCCATATCTTCTGAATATGTTGCTGTGATAAATATTAGCTGTGGAGAGCTGAGAATGGGAGAAGAATGGAGTGTGTGGGCAGCACGGCGGCCTCCTCTCCTCTCCTCACTTCACTCTCACGGCCTACCTTTACCTGCCTGCCTGCTCGGCGCCCAGAACACCTTCCACCATGACTGCCTCAGCATGTTCCCACTTAAACAAAGTCATTAAGCATGTGTACATGTCCCTGTCTCAGGGTGAGAGAGTCCAGGCCATGTATATCTGGATCGATGTTACTGGAGAAGGACTGCGCTGCAAGACCCGGACCCGGGACAGTGAGCCCAAGTGTGTGGAAGAGTTAGTTGCCTGAGTGGAATTTCTTCTTTCTCTGTCTTGTCTTGTCTTTTTTCTTTCTTTTCTTTTCTTCTTTCTTTCTTTCTCCCTCTTTCTTTTCTTTTTTCTTTCTTGCCTTTCTTTCTTTCTTTCTTTCTTTTCTTTCTTTCTTTCTTTCTTTCTCTTTCTGTCTTTCTTTCTCTCTCTCCCCCTCTCTCTCTCCCTTCCTTCCCTCCCTTCCTTCCTTCCTTCCTTCCTTCCTTCCTTCCTTCCTTCCTCCTTCCTTCCTTCCTTTTCTTCCCTCCTCTTTCTTTTCTTTCTTTCTTTGTTTCTCTCTTTCTCTCTTTCTTTTCTTTCTGACAGAGTTTTCACTCTTGTTGCCCAGGCTGGAGTGCAATGGCACGATTTCAGCTCGCTGCAACCTCGGCCTCCCAGGTTCAAGCGATTCTCCTGCCTCAGCCTCCCAAGTAACTAGGTTACAGGTGTGTGCGACTACCCCCAACTAATTTTTTGTATTTTTACTAGAGACGGGGTTTTACTATGTTGGCCAGGCTGGTCTGCAACTCCTGACCTCAGGTGATCCACCTGCCTCAGCCTCCCAAAGTGCTGGGATTACAGGCATGAGCCACCATGCCTGGCCTGGCATTTTGATGGCTCTAGTATTTTACAGTCTGAAGGCGCCAACAGTGACATGCATTTCATGCCTGCTGCCATGTTTTGGGATACCTTCAGTAAAGACCCTACAAGCTGGTGTTCTGTGAAGTTTTCAAGTACAACCAAAAGGCTGCAGAGACCAATTTGAGGCATACCTGTAAGTGGATAATGGACATGGTGAGCAACCAGTTCCCCTGGTTTGGCATGGACCAGGAATATCCCCTCATGGGGACAGATGGGCACCCCTTTGGTTGGCCTTCCAATGGCTTCCCAGGTCCCCAGGTCCATATTACTGCAGTGTGGGAGCAGACAAAGCCTATGGTACCGACATTGTGGAGGCCCATTACCAGGCCTGCTTGTATGCTGGAGTCAAGATGGCGGGGACTAATGCTGAGGTCACACCTGCCCAGTGGGAATTTCAAATCGGATGCTGTGAAGGAATCAGCATGGGAGATCATTTCTGAGTGGCCTGTTTCATTTTGCATCATGTATGTGAAGACTTTGGAGTGATAGCAACCTTTGATCCTAAGCCCATTCCTGGGAACTGGAAGGGTACAGGCTGCCATACCAACTTTAGCACCAAGGCCATGTGGGAGGAGAATAGTCTGAAGTACATTGAGGAGGCCATCGAGAAACTAAGCAAGTGGCACTAGTACCACATCCGTGCCTATGATCCCAAGGGAGGCCTGGACAAAGCCCAGCACGTAGCTGGATTCCATGAAACCTCCAACATCAACGACTTTTCTGCTGGTGTAGCCAATTGTAGTGCCAACATATGCATTCCCTGGACTGTTGGCCAGGAGAAGAAGGGTTACTTTGAAGACCGTCGCCACTCTGCCAACTGCGAACCCTTTTCGGTGACAGAAGCCCTCATCCACATGTGTCTTCCCAATGAAACCGGCAGTGAGCTCTTCCAGTACAAAAACTAAGTGGACCAGACCTCCAGCCATTGAGCCCCTCCTAGTTCTTTATCCCACTCCAACTCTTCCCCATCTCCCAGTTGTCCCAATTGCAACTCAAAGGGTGGAATATAAAGGCCTTTTTAAATTCAAAAAATTAAAAAAAAAATAAATCTTAGCTGCGAATACAACTTTATGCTGAGTCCTATGAATCTTTCTATCAAATCTCTAGATATGGGATTAGTGTTGGAGATCCCTGACACACAGTTTTTACTATTAATGGTGAAAAGAGCAGAATGTTGTACTTAGCTCTGAAAGTGAATGGAGGAGAATGTGAAGTTGAGTATTAACAGTAAATGAAGCAGAATGTGTGTCTGGTGTTGGTAGACAGTGGAGCAGAATGTGGTGTCTGGCAACTCATATTGAACATAATGTTGAGTCTGGTGGAAGGTTTGATGGATCAGAAAAGTGTAGAACCTGCAAAGATCTGCAGGATCCTGCAAAGTATAGTAGATAAATAAGTAGTGAATAATTCCTTTGCTCCCCATGTTTTAGGCAGAACAAGGAAGTAGATGATGTCCTTATTTGTCCAGGTGCTCTGTGCTCTTGGGCAATGGGACTTACCTTGGGCAGAGATGCTCGAGAGCCAGAGCTCTGGGTGGTCATGGTGAGCACCGTGGTGATGCCTAGGCCCACACGAGCAGGTGCAGCATCCATGTTGATCCAGAAGGAGATCCATGAGAGGATGACAATGAGCAGACTGGGAATATACATCTGAATCAGGTAGTAACCCATCTGCCGCTCCAGGTGGAACCGGGCCTCAATGCAGGTGAATTTACCTGCAAGAAATTGCAGTGAGAAGGCAGTGTAGCCTGGTGAATAGGACAAAAGGCTCTAGGCTTAGAACAAGCTCGACTGGAGTCCTGGTTCAGTCTCATACTACCTGTGTCCTTAGACAAGTATTTGAATTGTTCTGTATATGTTTCCTCATGTGTAGTAAACTGGGGATAATAATAATAATACCTCTATCATATAGTTACTTATATGATTAATGTGAGGATACAATGAGATGATGCCTATGAAAAACTTAGCACAGTCCTCATACGTTGTAAATGTTCAGGATTGTCAATTGCCATCATCATCACCATCGTCATCATCATCATCATCAGTATTTTGTTGCTAAGAATGGGCCTAAGTGGCACTTTCTCTACCTTTCTGCCAGTTATCTTCCCAAAACATGACTTGATCCTTATTTCCTCTTCTAAAACCTTTGGTCTCCTCCTTCTTTCCTCATGCAAGGCAGTTCCCATTACCTACAGGAAAAAGTTCAAACTCTTTAGCCTGCCCTTTATAACCAAGCTCTAACCAGTCTTTCTATCCACTTCCCCATCTTTCTTCACCCTAATCATGACTCCCTACATGCCACCCCTTGCCTTGAGCATTCCCTGAACTTTCATGTTTCTGAGCTTTTGATCTTGCTTATCCCTTTGCCCAGAATGCCCTTATTCCTTCCCACAACCAGCCAAAGAAATCTTCCTTCTCCTCCATGGCAGTGTAAATGTGAAGATTCTCCCAGGCAGAATGCTGCTCTTTTTCTGTGTTCCCTGAGCCCTGTTCACATGATCATCAGAGCCTTCAAGACATAATACAGTGAGTGAGGGGGCAAGTCAGTCTCTCTCTCTGTCTTCTGCACTAGACTAGGCAGCTTGTCTCCTCCCTGTCTATGTATCCCTGGAACTGGGATGGGCCCAGTCTAATGGTGGGGCCTTAGTTCCTGTCTACTGAAGCACAATAGGGAATTTCCTGGAGTTCCCTGGACTGTAAGCTGTAGGCAGGGCCTTGTCAGTCTTTTCTTCTTGCATCCATAGGGTCTAGCACGGAGTTCAGCTCTCACTTAAATGAAAATGGTGAAGAGCAAGTGAAACGAATGAGAATATGCTATGTACATTTAGGTTGTTTCCATATCTTGGCTATTGTGAATATTACTGCAGTGAACATGGGAGTGCAGATATGCCTTTGAGATACTGGTTTTACTTTCTTTGGCTATGTATCTATGTATCTAGAAGTGGGATTGCTGGACCATGATATATTTCTCAATGGATGAATAGATAAAATGAAACATTATTCAGCCTTAAAAAAGAAGGAAATTTTGCCATTTGTGACAATGTGGATGAAGCTGGAGGTCATTTTTATATTAAGTGAAATAAGCCAGACACAGAAAGACATATATTGTGTGATCTCACTTATATGTGAAATCTAAAATAGTCACACTTATAGAAGCCGAAAGTAGAATGGTGGTTGCTAGAGGCTGAGGGATGGGGGAAATTGGGAGATGTTGGTCAAAGGGTACAGAATTTCATTTATGCAAGATGAATAAGTTCTGGGGATCTAATGTACAGCAATGTGACTAGAATTAACAGTGGTGTCCTGTGTGCTTGAAATTTGCTAAGAGGGTAGATCTCCTTTTTACTTTTTTTTTTCTTTTTCTTTTTTGAGATAGAGTCTCACTCTGTCACTCAGGCTGGAGTGCAGTGGCACGATCTCAGCTCACTGCAGCCTCTATCTCCTGGGTTCAAGGGATCTCCTGTCTTAGCCTCCAGAGTAGTTGGGATTACAGGTATGTGCCACCACGCCCAACTAATTTTTTTTTTTTTTTTGTATTTTTAGTAGAGACAGGGTTTCACCATGCTGATCAGGCTGGTCTCAAACTCCCGGCCTCAAGTGATCCCCCTGCCTTGGCCTCCCAAAGTGCTGGGATTACAGGCATGAGCCACCATGCCTGGCCTTTTTTTTTTTCCTCACATTTTAAGAGTTTTAAAATATATTTTGAATATTTGACTCCTATCAGATTTATGATTTGCAAATATTTTCTCCCATTCTGTGGGTTCTTTATCTTCACTATCTTGATAGTGTCCTTTGATGCACTTTTAATATTTATGAAGTCAAATCTATCTATTGTTCTTTCATTATTGCTTGTGTTTTTGGTATTATATCTAAGAATCTATTGCCAAATCTAAGATTAGGAAGATTTGTCCTCATGTCTTCCTAGAAGTTTTATCATTTTAGCTTAATCTTAAATTTAGGTCTTTAAGAGGGTAGATCTTAAGTGTTCTTACTAGACACACACACACACATACACACACAATGAGAAGTATGTGAGTTGATGGATATGTTATTTAGCTTGAGTGTGGTAATTATTTCACAATGCATATGTATATCAGAACATCACGTTGCATATCTTCCATATATACAATTGTTATTGGTCAGTTATACCTTAAGAAAGCTAAAAAGAAAAAAGAAAAGAAAATGCTGCATAAAGAGTAAAAGACTTGGTATGTGAGGGTCAGTTGTGGTGATTTGACTTGGGAGTCATTGCTTTCATGGCTGCTATGGGAATGCCATTATGGCTCAAGGGATGAAGAGAGTATCTTTGGAGGTTCTGAAACATCTCTGAGGTGACTCAGAAAGAGGCAGCTGCCCAAGACAGACTGCAGCCCAGGCTGCCTGTACCTTCACTGGGCTGTCTAATTACATCAGAGCCTACGATGGTTTCTCTCAATCCCTCTCTTTCACCTCCTCTTGCTGGCCTGCCATGCCTCTCTACTCTGTGCTTCTGGGTTCAGACCCCAGCTTCCTACCCATCCTTCCAGCTGCTATAGCAACTGACTGACTTTCTTCTCCCATGCTTTTATGAGCTTGTTCTCAGCCTGAGACAGGACAGGACACGCAAAGCCAGTCTTGATCTGGCCCCAGTTAGTCATCCAGATATTCAATCTTCCGACAAAGGCATGGGAGACAGAGAGCTGAGCTACACCATCGTGGCTTCTCTGCTGTCTCATAGCTCACAGGCTAGTGAACTTTTTTTAGCTATTTACTAACCTTCAGTGACACCTCTCAGCTCCCTCTTGCTGAGGTCTATTGTGAGCATTCTCTCTACTTTTGCTCTATTGGAAATGCCAGTTCATCTGTGACAGAGACTACTAGGTATCTTCCCAATATCAGTCCTTCACTTCTGCCTTAGAAATAGGATCCATTCTGCTACCTGGAATAATGACTGTATTTACCAGCTTCCCCGGTAATTAGGTAGGGCCCATGCTTCAGTCACTCACTGCAGGAGTCATAGGAAGAAAATGTCAGAGCCACTTTTTTGTTTCAAAACCTATTCTTTTAACCAGTAGGTAATAGAGCTGTGCCCATCATGGGTACTTCATAAGATCTGTTGAATCAATGATTGAATGTGTTTGAAATGACCTCTGGTCCTGGTTGGGGGGTGGGATCTGAGGAGGATGGCCCTTGTACCTACCTGTGTTGTAGTGCTTGGTGCAGTATCTCAAGTCCTTCTCTTCCTTCAAGATAAACTGGGGCAGAGTTAGTCCATCTGCCACCTGCACGGCTCCCTGTTCCTGCCACTCAAAGATGAGGTCATTCATGGTATATCCAACTGGGATGGGATCAGAAGAAGGAGCAGTCACCACTCAGAAGCACTTGTTTGAAGCATGTCAAGGTTGGTTAGGGTTAGAGACTGAGAGAAACATCAGACACTTGATGGAACTTGTGAGACCAGGTTGCTTTTTATTTTCCTCTCAAAAGAGGTAAAAAACAGGTTAATTATTTGTATCTACCTCAGAGCCCTTCCACCTCTCTTCCCAACCTTCTGCATTAGCTTGTCCTGTTGTTCCCTCTCTTACTCCCATGGTGAAATGCTGTTGACATCTGCTATTTTCACCTGCACACCATCCTTGTCAGCCTCCTCTTTTGCTCACAGCAGATATTCCTCTGTGGAACAACTCTATTGCATGCTGTCTTGGTGGGACTAACCACTGGCTGGGGTAGAAGGTAGAAAGTGTGAAATGGTGACTCAAGCTAGGCCAGACTGTGCCCCAGCACTTCAGCAACTATTGAGTGAAGTAACAGGAGGTTCAGAATTGGTTTGTGCTGATTCCCTTCACAGGTAGAACTCCAAGGAAATGGTCGATTAGTTCCTGTTGTCTAAGTGCTCTGCCTTGGTTTCTTTTTTTTTTTTTTTTTGAGACGGAGTCTCGCTCTGTCGCCCAGGCTGGAGTGCAGTGGCCGGATCTCAGCTCACTGCAAGCTCCGCCTCCCAGGTCTACGCCATTCTCCTGCCTCAGCCTCCCCAGTAGCTGGGACTACAGGCACCCGCCACCTCGCCTGGCTAGTTTTTTGTATTTTTTTAGTAGAGATGGGGTTTCACCGTGTTAGCCAGGCTAGTCTCGATCTCCTGACCTTGTGATCCGCCCGTCTCGGCCTCCCAAAGTGCTGGGATTACAGGCTTGAGCCACCGTGCCCGGCCTGCCTTGGTTTCTGTATTTTTAAGTTAGTCAGATTGGTTTCTCTGTTTGCAATCACAGGAGTCAGCTTTCCAATCTGTTAAAATCCCGGTCCTCCATAAAGTCTACTCCAATACCCTCTCTCTTTCTCCATCAGAAGGAAGCACTCTTTCTGCCATGAGGCCACAGTGCTTTGTACTTCTAAGAACACAACAATCACTTGCCACCTTTATTAGAGTTATTTGTGCAGTCAGTTGTTACTTCCCCTGCTGGAGTGAACATCTCGTGGGTTCAAAGACCATGACTCATTCAAGTCATTTCTCCTCCATTCACATTAACCATAGACATGGGACAATGACCCTTTGGAGAACGCTGCTGGCTCCAAAACGTGGTCCTCAGGCAATGTAAGGGGAGTTATATTTCTAATGCATTTTCTAAAAGCAAAGTCCTTCATGGAATATTTTGGGTTATTACAGTAATCTCCTGGGCTCTAGTGGTTAGGAGCAGCTGTGTGGGAATTTCTGCCTGTCCCATGGGTAAAAAAGGGAGCCTGGTTCTTTCTAGAGGACTCATGCAAGAGACTCACAGCTTTCCAGTTGCATGATACATGTCTGGACATCCATGGGGAAATTCTTCAAGTCCATGGGGCAGGCCAGTGTCAGGGTGATTCTGGGAAGAGAAGGGAGTTGAATGATGCAGGATCCACACATCAGGGAGGCTGTGCCTCTATTGTAGTTATTGTTAGAAAATCAGTTGTCCAGGGTAGGGAAAGAAGGTCAGGGAACTTGTGTTTGTTTGTTTATTTATTTTTGAGAGGTGAGATCTCCCTTTGTGGCCCAGGCTGGAGTGCAATGGTGCAATAATGGCTCACTGCAGCCTCAACTTTCTAGGCTCAAGCAATTCTCCTGCCTCAGCCTCTAGAGTAGATGCGACCATAGGCACGTGCCACCACGCCTGCTAATTTTTAAAAAATATTTTGTAGATACAGGGGTCTCACCACGTTACCCAGGCTAGTCTCGAACTCCCAGGCTCAAGCAATCCTCCCACATCAGACTCCAAAAGTGCTGGGATTACAGGCGTGAGCCACTGTTCCCGGCCGTGACAAGATTTATATATATAGAAAGCCCTGAAAATTACACACACACACATACAAACTGTTAATGCACATAATGGAATTTAGCAAAACTGAAGGATAAAAAATCCACCAGGAGTTCTGGCAAGAAGCGCGGTGGGAAGCAGAGTGCAGCCAGATGCTTTGGGGACCTGCAGGCCCTCTGACCTTGGAGGTGCAGATGAGCTGGGGGCTCCGGCCTGGCGGCAGGCTCTGTTCTCCAGGCTCCCACAGCCCTTGCCATGGCTCCCACCAGCTGGGCCCAGGCCTGAAGTAGTGACAAACCTCTTTTCCCACCCCACCTCAGGGACCTGGTGGCCATCTGGTCTCCCAGCCAACTTTGCCCAGCCTAGACAAAGCTCCTGATGGCTACTGGGATGCAGCACCTTTGGGTGGTGGCGAGTGTGGACAACTTGTATGTATTAAATAAGTATGTGTGTATTTCCAAGTTCCTGATTGAAAAATGGAGGCTTAGAGAGGTAAAAGTAGGTTGCCTAAAGTGACACAGAGTCAGGGAACTTCTGGGTTTCTTTGGAGTCTATCTGGCCTCTGGAGACCTGTCTTTAGCAAGTTGCCTGGAGACCAGGGGCTGCTCCCGTTCCATACTCTTCTGCATAGCCCTCAGGTAGGGACAGAGCTCAAATTTTAAGTTGAGCAGCACCCATGTGCACCTGCAGCAGATGTTGCAAGTGGTTCTTGGCTACCTTCTTCACACACAGGGCTCATCAAAGGTTATTTCAAAGAGGCTGTCTGCCTTCTGGGTGTCCAAACACAGTTGACTCACATCAGTAGGCTCATGCTAGGGGTTGACCGGAAAGGGGTGGGCTCCTAAGGATTCTGGGCTAGCTATTTATTTTGGTTGTTCAACCCTTACAGAGGCCACAGACTCAGAACCAGAGGGAGTCCCCTTAACAGAATTCGAGGCCTGCAGCTCAAGCTGGGATACAAGACTCCAGCTTGAAAGGCTTTTCCAACATCTGAGTGCCTGCTGCAGGGGACGGAGAAGAAAGGCTTTCAGAGCCCAAAGAGCCTTAGATCATCAAGCCAACTCCCTCATGTGACAGGTGAGAAACCCAGGGTACAGAAAGGGATAGGCTGAGAGTCATCTAAGGTCACACAGCAAGCTGATACATCAGCCAGGATTCAAAACCATGTGTCCTGGCCTTTGGATTCTGAGTCTCAGGGTGAGGTTGACTTATGTGTTTGCTGGCAGCACTGCTCTCCTGAAAAGCCAACCCCAATACCCTAAGACACATAATTGGTGGTGTTCTAGTGGAACTGAACTGGCACTTTGGCTGCATGTGATGAGGTACACAGCACTTTGTGAACTTCCTTCCTCCAGCTCACACCCATAGCTCTGGATCTGGGCCCCTTTAAGCATAAGGTTAAAGTAAAAGGGGAAAAATGGAAGGGAGAGGGAGAGGAAGAAGAGGGAAAAGAAGGGAGTGGAAGGAGGGAGACAGTGAAGAGAAAGTGAATGCAGTTGAATTTCTGCAGATAAAACCTCCAAAGTGGGGCAGCTGTCACATTGGGTTAATTTCCTGAAGTCGAATGACCTTGGAAACATCACTTTCTGCTGATTTGTCCTTCTATCATGCTGTACCAGGACTTAGCTTCCTAGAGATAGGTAACTAGCTTGGCAGCAGCAAAATCCAAGCAGGCTGACCTTACCATCCCCCTAGCCAGCCGGGCCTGGGTGGCCATTTCCTAAGCCTGTCACTCCTCTAGTCTGGATGTTTACTTGGGGGGATGGGAAAGTGGGCTCCTGAGCGAGGAAGGCCATATGAGCAGCGGGTTCCTCCAAGCCTTCTCTTGATGGTGAGGTTCCTAAGCTCCCTCCCCTACCCAACCTGCTCTTGGGAGAGACCGAGTTCAGTCAAACCTGAGGGTTAGGATCTGTACAGCCTCTCCCACAGGCTGGGAAAGTTAAGGCTCATCACCCAAAGGAAACAAAATGTGTTTCCCTGAAGGACTGGAGCAGGAGGGGGAGACATTTAGGGCCAGCGCCCTTTTAAGTTCTTTGAAATAAGAACATATTCATATATTGATCAAATATTTGAGTGCCTATTGAATGCCATGCACTGCTGTAGGACTTTGAGAGGGCATCAGATTCACACTAATACAGATTAGAATCTAGGCTCTGCTACTAACAAACTGGAAACTTTGGCAGGTTGCTTAAATTTTTCTGATTCTCATTTGTCTAATCTGCAAAATGGGCATAGTAAAACCTGCCTCATGGGGTTATTAGGAGGTCTAGATATAACACATGAAAAGTACCCAGCATAGTTAGTGAATTCTCATGAATGGTAGCTATTATTATTACATGTGTAAGGTATTTTTTCACCTCTTTGACATTGGTCATTTTCCTTATGCCTTAGGAGAGGAGATCAGGACTTGGTGCGGAGGGGTGGCAGCAGACTCTGAAGGCTTTGCCCCTAACCAGTATCTCAAGGATACTCGACATCTGGAGAAGGAAATCTAAACTCCTAGACCCAATGCAAAGTTTGGGGGATAGATTTTGTAGAAGGGATGGAGTAGCCCTGGCCTTGACCGTGAGCAACACCATCCACCTGGCAGGCTCATTTACTTTGAAGTTGCTGTGATTTTCTAGGCTTAGCTCTTGCTATTGGTAATCATGCTTGGATACTCTTTCCTATCTTGTTTGATTGAAATGCTGGGTAACTTAAACCCCACCTTCTCTAGGATGCCTTTCTTGGTCTCCTTGGTTATAATAAATCATTGGCTCCTAGAGTAAAATACCCCATTGTATTTTATTATTACTTGCTGAGTATAAGTTACAGAGCTGGGTCTGCCTATTCTGCAAAGGTGTTGGGTTACCAGGGCCTGTTCACCTCTGTTTAGGCCCCTCTTTTAGGGTCTGTGCCCAGAAGGTAGTCGGGTAAGGCACATTCTGAGGAGGGAGTGGGTGAACCTGGTCAGAACTCACCTGATGCTGTAGAGGACGTTCCCATTCCGGGAGATCCTTAGCAATTTGTTGTCTGTGGTGATCTCATGGAAGTGGGCCCCCTTCTCGTTGGCAAAGAACAGGTCAGGTTTCCAGATGGAGTCCAGCATGGATGGGTCCAGGTCCAGAGAGTCATCAGGATATTCGTTATAGGCCAGGCGGGGGTCGTTCCATTGCTGACGCAGGAAGATGTTGACCCTATAGTCCTACAGCCAGGAAACAACAAGGTGAAGGCAGTGTTAGGCCCAAGGACATCAACTTTTGGAGGACCTGGGTATTTCTGGTTAGTAAAACCTTTTCTGGAGGATGTTATTAAGTGTGGTTGCATCTTATATGGGAGTGAGACATAAAAGGTGTGTATCAGGCAAAAACCATGGGAGTCATAATTACCCCTGAAAATCCTCTAAATTCCCCATGAGGTATATTTGACCCTGAACTGAGATTATGTAAATGTTATTCTTTATTTTGAAAAAAATAAAACTAAAGAAAAGTTCAAAGACGGGTGTAATAAACACTTGTTTTCATCATCCTGTCAATATTTTTTCATGTTTGCTTCATTTTTTTTTAAATAAGAGAAAAAATACATTGCATATAAATTGAAGTCCCCCTTTCCCCCTCAACCCCAATAGCAGAGTACTTCTTAGGCACACCAAGATTTGAGAGTCACTGGTCTAGACAAATTGAAGGAATGAAAGGATATAATCAAAACTGATGTCTGAGCATTCAAACTATTCTGCCTAAAGAGAATAATTAATTCTCAAGAAGTGAAGGAGGGATGGGCAGAAGAATTCTGTATTGTTCCTGCTGGTCCTAGGGTTCATCCCATTCTGTTTTAATCCCAGCCTTCTATAACTTACTGTGACATATGTTGATTTGTTTGGAAAGGTTTAATAGATGTCATGGAGTCACATCTTACTAGCTTCTAAACTCAGTGCTTAGTTAATATTTCTCTGATGGGACTGCAGTGTAGTTATTCCACTGAAAGGAAATTCATGAGTCAAATCAATTAGGGAAATGTTAGACCAGATGAAATACAACAGGTTTCTTTATTGCAGGACTTCTCAGAGACCTTAATATGCTGATGAGTTGTGTGCATCTCAAGAAGGGAATAGAATATGATTTATTTTGGCCATGGAATTCTTATGTTTGTGCATGATGAGTATCTTCTATAGAATATAAGTTAGGAATGGCTGTCCTAGTCAAAACTCCATCCCCGCCTCCCACCTTTTTTTTTTTTTCCAGATGAAGAAACTAAAGTCCAGGGAGAATTGAGACTGGCTCATTGTCACTCTGAAAATGTAGGTCCAGAGCTGATTCTAGAACCCAAGTATTCTGACTCCTAGCTGAGAGTTTGCTCAGTTGCCTCAGCTGTTCCTAGAGGAAGTGAAAGAGTCCATTCAGTTTATATTTACAACGTGAGGAGCTGTTATGGTATGGGTAGATCTCAATAGCAGAAAACTGGGTCATGCAGTTAAGAAATATTTCCATTAAGAAAGTTTTCAGTCAGGAGCGATGGCTTATGCCTGTAATCCCAGCACTTTAGGAGGCCAAGTTAGGAGGATGGCTTGAGCCCAGGAGTTTGAGACCAGCCTGGCCAACATGATGAGACCTTGTTTCTACCAGAAAATACAAAAGGTAGCCAGGTGTGGTGGTGCATGTGATGGTCTATACAGTAGCCTGTAGTCCCAGTTACTCAGGAGGCTGAGGTCAGAGGATCACCTGAACCCAGGGAGGTCCAGGCTGCAGTGAACCATGATCATGCCACTGCACTCCAGCCTGGGTGACAGAGTGAGACCCTGTCTCAAACAAACAAACAAACAAACAAAACAGAAAAAGAAAGTTTTAAATTTTGTTACAGAGACATTGTAAACCTGGAGTTCATGAATAGCATGACATACAAGTAGAGTTTAGGGTATATTTGTGTTTCCCAAGCAGGAAGGGCATAGCTCTCTGTGTTGAATCTCCCACAAGGGTCTATAGTTCCCCAAATGATTAATATCCTCAGTTCAAGTCCAGCTTTAAATGCTTTCCTCCAAGGAATAATCTCCACACATGAGGACCTGCTATTGCTTTTTCCCTGAGGGTGCTGGATAAACGAGGTCATGCAATATTTTCTTTTGTAATGCTGCTTGTAAATCCTCATCAGTCTTGATCTGTTATCAGCAGAGATAAACTAAAACAAACAAGCTTCCTCCCCACCCTCACCCTCACCCCTGCTCAATTCCTCCTACCGTGCATGCCTTGGTCTGTTTGCCTATGGAAATATCAATAGCTTCATAAAATGTTCTAAGGTATTTTATAGGATTTTTCTATAATTTAATTGTGGCCTCTCTCTCCAGCCCCATAGAAAGTGACATTTGGCCTCATAATCTCATATCTTATAAGTCCCATGGTGGTGGGAGAACTCCAGGCCCGGCCTGAGTGTTGGCTCTTTGTCCTGCTGATGGTAATGGACAGCTCCCAATCTGGTCCCATCTGATCAGGGGATTGGAAATAGTCTCTCCTTCTCCTTCTCCCTTGGATTTTGCATGAAGTGTGTGTGTGTGTGTGTGTTGTGTGTGTGTGTGTGTATGTGTGTTATGATGAGGCACTGGGCAAGTCACATCAGAGTGAACAGACTATGAATGGTTGGGCAGAAAAAGCCTTCAGTCCCCAGGCCCCAGCTGTACTCTTGATGTTCTTGCCAGTGACATGTCAAGTCCATTTATGTGGCTAGCAGGAAGAAAAGAAAGTGGCATTTCTTAAAATGGTCTGTTAGGCAGCAGGCACCGTTCTAGATACTGTCACATACATTTAATCCTCACAAAACCCCTGCAAGCTAGACATTCAGATTCCCATAGTAAGGGTAAGAAAACAGGTCTGAGAAATGTGTCCAAGGCACAGGGCCAGTGAGTGGCAGAGCTAGGACTGGAATCAGCATCAGCCTGAGCCTCTAGTGAGCACTTGTGATTTACGTCACATGGTGTGGACAGCCAATCCTGTGTGAGGGACACTCTCTGTCAGCCTCATTGCTCAGGCAAATTCTGCTTTCTCAGCTTAAGGCTTATCTCCTGCAGGAGCCTTGATGCCCCAGGCTTCCCTGACCTCTTCCTTTTTGATTCCTAGCAAGACCAAATCACCTGGAACGTTTAATTGAGCACTTCTTCACTGTGTATGTCCTCAACTTGATTGGGAGCAATTTGAGCGGATGAACCGGACCTTATATTTTCCTGCACCATCTCACCTAGTCACCCAGTCAGTGTATCTATGAGCTACCTAGTACCTATGGGAAGGAAGAGGAGACAAAGTCAGAAAAAGCTGGAACAGAATGTGCTTTTCTTATTTTATATCTGGAAAGACTGAGACCCAGAGGGGAAAGGTATTTCCTAAGATTGCACAACAATTTAGTAAAGAATCTGGAATTAGAACTTGACTCTGCTTCTCTGAGCCTCACTGTTAAAAGAAGTTAGGCTAGATGGTCTCTAAGAACTTTTCCAAATCTAACAGCTAATTGTGGTTAGTTTTATTTTTTCCAACAACATTTAACTGAACTCTCTTAAGTGCCAGATATTATTCTAGGCACTGAGGAATCCACTGAGGACAAGAAAGATATATTTATTCAGCTCCAGAGCCTCCCGTGTAACGTTTACACCACACTGAGATAAGGGCTGTGATAGGGGTTAAGCGCAGGGTGCTGGGGAATATAGAAGACAGATTCCCACCTGGACTTGGGGGTGCTGATCAAGGAAGTCTCCAGGTAGAAGTGATATTTAAGGTGAGACCAAATACGGTTGAGTCAAAGAGGAAAAGCATTTTTGGGCAGCTGGAAGTGCATATGTGAAGGCCTAGAGGCAAAGCAAGAGTGGGGCACTTTGGAAAGAACAGCAAGTGAATGAATAGAAGAGTGGGAGGACGCATGCACAGTCTTGCAAGCTGTACTGAGAAATTTGAACTTTTTCCTGATAATAATGTGGAGAGTTTGAAGAATTTTAAGTAAAGATGAACATTATTACATTTGCATTTTATTACTAATATTTTAAAATGTTTTAACTGTTATTTCAGAAGCAATGCAAGTTGACAGTTAAAAAATATAAACGTACATCATCTAAAAGAAGAAAAACAAAATAAAATCCATCTCTTTGTATTTCATAATGAGCCTCTCATTATGAAATGACTAATGAAAAGTTTGAGCAGGAGACGGAGAATGTATCTTGGTGTCCTCAGGCAGCTTGACTCCTACTGGCAGCGCCTGCCCTAGCAGCTGCTACCCAAACAAGTTGCTGCCATTGATTTCCTCCCTTAAATTGGCAAACAGCAGTGAGAAATGCAGTTCAGAAAAGATCAATGTAAGTGGTGTAATAGGCCGAAAGCTAAAGGCTGTTTTGCTTATTTGGCCATAGCTATACATATGTGGGTTGGTGTTCGACATGCTGGGGGCCATGTTCAAGTTCAGGGACTGGAGGAGCAGCAATTGAATTCTCCATCCTAGAACCTGAGGTTCCACCTCTGGGAGCTGGTTTCTAGGTCTCAAACTCTCAAGGGTAGCCCACAAACCTGAAGAAGAAGGGGTTTCCAGAGCTCTGGTTCAACAGTGTTCAGCATCAACTCACCCATCCTGCCTCTCTGATTCCTTGATGATCTAATTTCTGGTAACTGGGCAACTAGCTGCCCTGCTTATGAGACTAAGGTAGAGCATTAACTCATTAATTTATTCATTCATTCATTCCACAGACATTTATTGAGGGCTTCCTATGTACCACCTGAAGTTGGATCTGTCCCCGACCTCTACCCACACTGTGCCTCATTTCAGATTCTAACCTCTCCTAATAAACTCCTCTAAACTCAGTATGGTGGTGAAGTAGGAAACATGAAATGTTTTAGTAGGATAGAGCTAAGAGCTTGTGCAAGAGTGTTGCTGGCAAGGGCATGTGGAATGCAAGAGGTGGGCCCATTGCAGTCAGAACCAAGAGACATTGCATCAAGAGGTAAACAAAAGAACCAGATCCTTATACCTTTTAACGTCTCATCATTCCAGTTCCCAAGGGGATATCTCATCTCTAAACTCAATCCAACTCTATTAATATTTATGAGGCTGATTGGGAGTACAGTGAGGATGGAGGCACAGGGTCTTCATTTCTATACTTAAAGAACTCAGTTTATCTAGCAAGCAAGATAAGGCATGGACACAAATATCTACCACACAAAATTGAAAGTGAGAGGGTCATAA